TTCGAACAACGGACATGCCCAGTACGAAAGATGGCAGAACCTCATCGGGACTCGCAAAATGGGAATGATGATCGCGATACGGTTACACGACGGGGCTCGCGATGGCAGCAACTCGCTAACAGCGAAGGGTTCACGATCGCGGCTGGAGCTTGCGGGCAGATGTTGACCCGCGGCTGGGGCTACGCGAACATGGGCGACGATGGAGGTGCTGGCGACACGCCGGGAACAGCTGATTCCTCTCGCTAGTGGTGGAGCCTCGCGAGCAGGTTCGACAATTGAGGAGGGCTCGCCGGAGGAAGTCGCTGAGGTGTTGCACCCGTGGAGGGAGGCTCGCCGTGGGTCTGCTGGTCATGACAGAGAGTCGCGGCGGCAGACAAGGGCGGTGTGATGGTGATGGCGTCGATGATGGTGATAATGGCGAGATGCAATGATGATGATGGGGATTCTTTCTCCCCCTTTTTCTTTCTCCTGGTACGATTGTGGCGAGTTTTTTTTTTCTTTCTCTGATCTCTGCTGCGGACGATAATAGAGGGAGAGAGATCGAAAGTTAAGGGAGAGCAGATAGAGATATTCTGGTGGTGATGGCCGAGAACAAGAAAAAGCTGCGAGAGGAATTGTTAAGGATTATTTAGATTTAATGTCTCTTTAATAAGGCTTAACTTAAGGCTTAATTAACATAAAAGAAAAATTAGGGCTTAAATCATTGGGCCGAAATTGTAAGCTATTTGGGCCGGGAATCATATATCAAAGCTACGGGTGGAAATAATAAGGGACGGGACTCAGGCTCGAAACGGTTCACGAGAAAAATAGAATTCGAGTTTAATCCGGTTTAACATAATAAACCGAATTTCTGAACGACTCAATTAAATCAAATCGAACGAAATAATTTATAATTCTATTATTCGCAAATAATATAATGCTATGGCTAAAATACTTAATCGAGCAACAATAATAAATAACTAGAATATTTATATATATATAATACACAATATAATATTTATAAACACTTAAAACACATAATTGTAATTAAGCATTTACATTTACAGTAACAATAATAATAATAATGATATCAACTTGACAAATAAACATAATAATAAAGATAATAAATAATAATCTCAAATAATCTGAACATATTCACGTAAATTCGCATATTCGAACGGGGCGCTACAATCTACCCACCTTAAAAGGAATTCCGTCCTCGGAATTCGAAATAAAACATCTAA